CGGCCCCCCTCCCTCCTCTGAGGTCACGTGACCTCAAGGATTCACCTATCTATCAGTACGCTTCCATCCTCCTACTGAAGAGCTGTGTTCGAATCCGGCCTTACAGGGAATTGTAAACGGCTTCCATTGTTTTGCTGCATTTACACACGCTGTTATACTCCATACTCTTGTTTTTCTACCTTTAAATTGCGTTGAGAACACTGACCCATATTTTCGGAACGTTCTTTTCCTCCAAAAACTATCAATTTGAAACCAAAACCATGTCTTTAGCAGTCATCAGTGCCACGTGGGTATCACGTAAAAATTTCGCGTCATTGACTGGGTTGTCGCGCTCCAAACGCCTCTAGTTTCCCGAGTTGCTCGTCCCTTTCGACCCGTACGCGATGCGAACAATTTGTTTCGCAACGCCAGGATCTAGAGGAGGCTAGGGGACGACAAACACCACCCAAAAGACTAGGGCCGGAAGCGGACGTTTTCGCGCCAGCAGTGAAGACTATCGCTGGACACAGATTGGTAACGAGGGCTCAGTCAAAGCTCGGCTTCCAGTCACGTTCGAGCCGAACGTTGACGCAATCATCGTGCCTAATCTGTACCCAGCGGTGGCATTTCCTCATGACAACATCTCTATCACACCTACCTATTTGTTATCTAAAACGTGTTATCTCGGGTTTAGGGTCGAATCTTTAATTTAAAAAAGTGCGATGTTCTCCGGGAATTTCTGAAATGACCGAGCGCGCAAATGACGAGCCTGGGAATTTTTTCGCTTTGAAGTAAGCGATCATTGAGGCGGTCAAGTCGAAAACTGATGCTTCTTCCACGTGTCGGCGGTCCCTAGTCTGACCATTCGCTATTCTTTCACTTTTCACACTACGCACTAGAACACCTTCTGTAGCACTGCCAAAATAAATGTTATGGCGCTTAATCAATAAATGACTCAGAATTTTGAAACCATTTAGAAACAGTCTGACTTGTACTTTTTAATGAGTTTTCCTAAAGATTGGGAATTTATTGCATGGGACTTACATGAAGTATTTTAAGTATATTTATATCGCCATTACACCACGTACCTAGCCCTTTTAGTGCATGTAACTACAATTACATATGTACAAAATCAAATTCGTTATTTACATAGCAGTCCCCAAAAAAACTTTACAGGGTGTCTTTCACCCTAAAAATAAACTACACTAATGGCTGACGGAATGCCTAAATAAGACTATTTTCAACATGATGTCGATGTACGTTAACGGGGAAAGCAAGACGTGGGACAAGGTCCTGCCGCATGTCACGTTCGCTACAACACAGCTGTTCAGGAGTCCACTGGTGTTGCACCATTCCAACTGGTGCTTGGTCGCAAGGTGACCACGACGCTTGACGCCATGCTATCTCACAAGCCAGCTAGCGACAGACGTCACGACGCCCAGGTGGCTGTGGAACCAGTAGAAGTCCACCAGCTCGCCCGAGTCCGGATCCAAGACCAGAAACGTGCCGACGCTGACCGCTACAACCTTCGTCGTCTGGACGTTCACATCCAGCCCGGAGACCGGGAGAGGGTGTGAACACTGATACGACATCGTGGCCTCAACGAGTAACTTTTAAAGCCCTACTTCGGACCATTTAAAGTCCTTCGAAGCCTGGGAGGTTTCAACTACCAAGTGGTGTCCGACGCAACGCACGTATTATCGCGACGCCGACCGCGACCCGAGGGGGTTCACGTCGTTCGCCTTAAGCGATTCTACGCTCGATAAGACTTTATCTGTTCCAAAGGACCCTTTAGTTTCCCGTCCCTTTTATTTGCTTTGTTTTGTTTTCTGTGGCATCGGGGCGATGCATTTCTTAAAGGGGTGAGTAATGCCGCGCCCGCAGCTGGCCGCTTGGACAGCGCCCCCGTGACCCAAAGGTTATCGTGCTTTGCTCTCACGCAAAGAGGCGAGGTTCGATGCCTTGCCGCAGATACACATTTTTGTTATTTCTGGAATTGTGTTCTGGTAAAATCACGAACACCGTTGCTCATTCGAGGTTAGAATATTCAACACGCTAGACCTTCTACGCCATTTGTTCCAGAAGCCCACGCGTGTAGACAAGGGGCTCCGCGTGGCGAGCCGGAATCAGTGTCGCCTCAGGCCCTGCTCGATCCACCTGTTTTCCTCCAACATCGACCCCGGCAATGCTAGCCTCCTTCTACTTTGTTTTGGGTATAAGTTCGCCCATTAACGTTTAGTTTTTTCAGGTTATTCACTGCCTCAACATTTGTCATTCGTGACAATGTCAAGGTTATTAAACGATCTTAAATAGCCTAATGTAAGAATTTACAGAACTTTGGCGAGGTCATCAACGGGGCATTGTCATATACTTTGCTTTATTTTTTTTAAATTACAGTATTTTTTTAGTTTAATGAAATATATCTTCATAGTGTCAAAGAACAGTCCTAGTGAAATAGCTCGCGATGTGACGAAACAACAAGCGGTCAATCTTGCTATTCCCGACAGCTGTGAAAATTGTCCGATTCGGCTTCCGCCGCTTCCATAATAAATACCTTTAAAAAAAAAAGAAAAAAAAAAGAATCAACCAAGCTTGCCGTTTGTGTTTTCTTTCATTTTCAAAATGGACCCAAATGTTTATTTTTATAAAAAAAAACAAAATATCGACTACGAAACCGTGTACGAATGAAATTAGAACACCCGTATTTCTTTTTTTTAAATTTAAATTACGATATGCTTTGCGTGCGCAAAGGCACGGCGAAATATCAAGTATCGCTATCCCAAAAATATATTTCAGCTTACTTGGTTGGCACCTCAAGAATTACCGTTTTCTGTCGGCACAGATAGTTTCTAGGCGCTTTAATTAAACAGATATGCACCGCTTTACCGCGAGAGAGATTTTTAATGGAAAATTCAGAAAAAAAAGGACATCAAAAGAATGTCCTGGCTTTTTCTAGTGTCTTGGGGTTTTTCCTTAAAACATCTTAAATCACCACCAGCTAAGTTGAGTCATAAAGTTTCGTTCATTCAAACCGTTATCTATAACACCCAATCGCTTAAAAAAATAGTTTGCCTTGTTCAGAAAAGTCAATCACCTCGCGGCGCTATCTCTCAGGGAGACATCCTCGTCCACCTGCTGAAAGTTTATACCGAAAATCAACATGAAAATGAAAATTAACATGGCAAGCATCAAAATGTTTTTCTCACTTCATGAGGTCGTGTATACAAGTATGTAGAAATTGCTGCTCCACGGATCAAAAACCCATATCAGAGATGAGCCAGCTCGGCATTTTCCGACAGACGAGCTGGATGGGCAAGTTTGTTTTGCTTAACAGACAAGCAAACTGGGCGGCGCTGGTACCACTTGACACGGGAGAGAGCACGCGGGGAGCATACAACGTGCGCAGGGAACTAGGCCTAAGATCTGTGCCGCGAACCATATTACAGTGTATTACAGTTTCTCAGCTGCACACATCGGTGTCGCCATCCAGGGTTCAAATTTTAAGTCTTCAAGATTATTACAAATGTCTGCTCCGAGTTAACATAACAAATTAATAACAAAAAGGTACAGACGTTTCGCCACCAATGCAGGTGGCATCCTCGGTATACATCTTCAGTATACGTCGAGTCCTGGTTCATTCGCCGTGAAGCATCGGTGTGCAAGGCCAACCGTGCGCCTTGCAGGACGTTTACGGGGATATGTGTGACATGTAGAGTTGTCGACCTTGCTTGATTGTGTCAGTGTATACTGAAGATGCCTCCGGCAAAGGAGCCGAAATGTCTGCGCCTTATTGTTTTTAATTTGTTATGTTAATTGAAGTAAACCTTTTTAATTATGAACTCATCCAAATTTAGAGAACATGTCTGCATCTTTAAGATGGACACCGCGGAGCATCAGCCTTAAATTATTACCCGCTAAAGAGAAGGTTCTCTGTTGATGCACTTCATGCTGGTATGACATGCATGAACTGAGTTACAAGAATGAGGTGCAGAAACTGGCGCTGACGCAAGTTCAACAACTCCAGGGGATCTAATTCACCCTCCCCGATCTACTTGCAGGCGAAGAAGCAACTCTACTTTCTTGTGGCTTGTACGTTCTCGTTTGTTTTGCTCAATAAACGTTTTCCGCTCTTTCCTTGCCAAAAAAGAACACACTTTCCAGAGGCGATGGATGCTCCTGCTTTCTTTACTTTTTTCCCGAAACAGCATTCTTGGCGAGATAGGACGTTCTAAAGCGACCTTTGGTCAGAATCAAATTTTTTTTATTTAGCGTACAGAACACTTCTATCTAAGGAAGTAGTTTGCTCCCGGAACATATTCTATGATGCACCTTCATAGTATCACTCCCTCATTCACTCTACATTGTGCGGTCGGGCAAGTTTATGAGCCACCTCGGCAAAAATTTCGATTCGCACCCACAAATATTCGAGTTTGAACTGCATCCGCAACTCCCGGCATCCAGATCTCCTCCGCAGTCCGCCAAATATGACACAATTTAACCCCTTCCGCCAGTTTAGCGCCGTAATACACGGATATGCAGGGCCCTAGTGATTGGTCATGGTTTACGCGAGACAGCGGACGTCGCAACATTATCGGACTTTCCACTCAATCAGGACGCAATATCATCAAAACGTCGAACGAGCTGACGCTGTCCTTCTGCATCATTTCGCGTTATCCTCTGCAGAATGTTTTACTTTGTGTGTGTTTTTTTTTTGTTTGTTTTTTGACATAATCGCGGCCTTGTGGCATTCCCAGAAAGCGCCAAGTTCATTAATTGTTACAATATTTTGCTAAACTCTTTTAATAGCCCCCTTCTTGCCACATATTAGAAATCGACTGAATATTAAATGGGGGAAGCTTTATTTTTAATTGGAGCAAAACCACAACTAACGGCTAAGTGCTCAGAGGGTGTTTGTTCAATATACTTATTATGTGGCTATTTTACTTTCGGACTGATATCAGTGACCCGAAGTTGACTGTGGATTTGTGAATCGTTCCAAACAATTTTTCTCTGACCGTTGCATGACAGGTACACTGGGAGTGGGCGACGACGACAGCGACTCAACCGACGACGGGGACGGGTCAAAGCCTTCATACGGTCTTGGCCCCGTAGAATCGCCCCCAGCTGGGGCAGCGGTGATAACATCAACCACAGCAGCAACAACAACGACAATTAAGGCGACAACACCATCCACAACAAGAACGAAAACAGTACCGACCACAAGGGCGACAACCAGAAGACCAACAAGATCGACAACGAGAAGAACAAGAGCAACAACGAGAAGAACAAGAGCAACAACGAAAACAACAACACGTGCGACAACAAAAAGGACGACAACAGCGACAACAAGAACAACAAAACCGACAACAAAGGCGACAACCAGAAGCACCACCAGAGCGACCATACCCCCGACAACAACAACCTCGACGGCAAGAACAACGAGAACTACAACAAGAGTGACAACGAGAAGACCAACACGTGCGACAACGAGAAGAACAACACGTGCGACAACAAGAACAACAACAGCGACAACAAAGGCAACAACAACGGCAACAACAAAGGCGACTACTACAACACAACGTAAGTGCCAGAAAATTATGCAACCCCAGCGGGGGCTTCTCCCATCTCAGCACTCCGTGGGGGAGCAAATCTCCAGAGTAGAAGCGTTAGCACATTCGCCAACAACCGAACGAAAAACAGTGCAACTTTCGGAACGCGCAAAAGTCATAGCTGTTTATTTTGCAGGTACGAGGGTATTGGAAACGCATAAATCAAGAAATATGATTTCATTAGATGTCTATCTCCATGTTCGTGCGACGAATGCCCGCCAGCAGTATTCTCTCTGTGATATATAGCATGCCATTATTTTAGAGCGCAGCTCTTAGGTGCCCGCTTCCGGCCTGAGCGGCGTCGGCGTCGGTGTCGCCCTCGCTGTCGCCGTAACCGCGCGGTGCATTATGGGTAAATTTCCCTGCTAAATTTAGCGGAATTTAGCGGAATAAGCAGTGCTGTCTTTGTTTTCCAATTGTTTTTAAACTTGTTTCTTTTTTGCTTTTATGGAAACTGCAACTCCATTACTTCCGAATGAACTGAAGCGCAAACTTGATCTAGAATGCAATTCTCATTTAAAGTGTTTCTGTTTAAATACGCAGCCAGCAGTGAATAAAACTACTGACCGTGAATTACTTTTCGATCAGTTCGGTGCTGTCTTTGATATAGTCATGTTTACTGAGACCTGGTATTCTGATAATTCAGATGTTTTCCGCTTACCGTCATATGACACGTATGCTTTAAATCGCACTTCAAAACGCGGGGGAGGATTGGCTGTTCTGGTTAAAGACTGTATTTATTTATTTATTTATTACAATACCCTCAGGGCCAAAAGGCATTACAGAGGGGGTGGGGCAACCAAAAAATGAAAAAAAAGGGTACAAAAAGAGAGCAAACACAGCCGAGAATAAACATCAACAGCTCGAAACACAGCACTCTGGTCAAAAAATAAACAAAAGGACAATCACGACAAAAGGTGAGCAGATAAGGTTTTTTTTAAATAAATCAATTGAAGGTATATTAACAAACGAAGCGGGAAGGTGGTTCCACTCAAGAGATGTTTTTGGAATAAACGCGTTCAAAAAGGCTGATGTGTTACAATGAGGGACACCAACTTTGAATGGATGATCAAAACGCGGAGAAATGAATGGGGGCTCAAGGAATAGTTTATCTTTCAATGACGTGTTAGAATGATAGATCTTGTAAAAGAGGCACAAGCGCGATATTTTGCGACGTAAAGAGAGGAAGGGTAGGGATAGACTGAGTTTCATGGAGGAAACGCTTGCTGTACGATGATAGTTAGAAAGTATGAAACGAACTCCGCGATTTTGCATGGCTTCCAGGTTAGTTATAAGCGTCGAGTGACCGGGATCCCAGATTGCAGCAGCGTATTCTAATTTTGACCGGACCAGGGAGTTGTAAAGCAGTAATTTCAAAGAAACGGGGGCCAGTGTAAAATTTCTTTTTAGAAAACCGAGCATATAGAGTTAGCGTTAGCAATAATGTGGTCAATGTGGGTTTTCCATGACATGTTATAGGTAATATGGACACCCAGGTATTTGTAACAGGTCACAGACTGAAGTTGAGTGTTACAAATTGAGATAGGTGGAAGAACCGTGTGACGACGAGAAACTCTCATAGACTTGCACTTGTTAATGTTAAGGGACATCTGCCACAATTCACACCATTGGGATACAGCACACAAATCATTTTGGAGGAGGAGTGAATCGGATTCATTAGTAACTTCACGATATATCACACAGTCGTCGGCAAATAAGCTAATAGAAGAGGATACACACGTAGGTAAGTCGTTAATGTAAATAAGAAACAATAAGGGCCCCAGAACGGACCCTTGGGGGACACCGGAAGTGACTGGACTTAGAGAAGAGTTAGCATCATTAGTATACACAAACTGAGAACGATTAGTAAGAAAACATTCAATCCAAGACAAAATATTAGGATCAACATGCAAGTGACTGAGCTTGAAAAGTAAAAGTTTGTGAGAGACTTTATCGAATGCCTTACAGAAATCTAGAAAGACGCAATCAACCTGGGAACCACGGTCGATTGTAATCTTTTGAGTGACTATTCATTTATCACGAAGGATGTTGAGGTATTGTGTCTACGAAATAATCAGAATATTTTTGCTGTTTTCTACCGCCCACCAGATGGTAATGTTTCTGCCTTTTTGAATTTTTTGGAATTTTTTTGGAGTATGTAAATGAAAATCAATATAACGTTATTTGCGGCGGTAATTTCAATATCGACATGTTTTCGGAAAGTGCCTCGCAAAGAAAAATGGAGTCTTATTAGTACGAATGGATGTGTCAATACAATTACAAACCCCACAAGAGTCACTTTACACTCCACAACTGTTTTAGACTTGTTTATTACAAACTTTCATACAGATCAAATTAAGAGCGGAGTACTTAGTTGCAACCTGAGTCACCATCTTCCAATATTTTTATGCGTTAAAGTTCATGTGTCTCGAAAGACGGTACAGAATCAACATATTGTTTTCCAAAATATAGATATAAACAGCCTCGAGGCCTTTAGACGGGACATCGCATGTACCATTTGGAATACAATTATTTTCGAAGATACTGCCGGTGGTGCTTATAACGTATTTCTTGAGCAAATTCTTAAACTATATAAGCATCACTTTCCATATAAAACTAAGAATATATCAAAAAAGATCCGTAAACCGTGGGTAACCTTCGATTTAGTTCGTAAAATTCGTAAGAAAGACTTACTTTATAAACGCTTCCTTAAAACACGTGACCCCGATGCACTTAAAACATTCAAAACCTATCGTAACTGCTTAACTAAAACGCTAAGAAATGCAAAAAAAAAGTTACTACTCTGTAGTGTTGCGACCGAGGCCGAAGTGACTAGGCCGAAGTGACGAGAAGTTGAATAAGACTTTTATTATACGAATACATGTTTATATAGGCTACAACACTAGCGACACACACACTACAAGGTTGACAGACGTAATACAGAAACCGAAACTACGACACAACATATGCTGCTGAGGAGCCATAGCTCCTTAAGAAATAATGGTAAGTAGGTTAGTAAATGGTTAGTATGTTAGTGCTGTAAGTTGGCTATGTACAACATAAAAACCACTGAAATGGAAAACAATCAATATTTTACACATTTCGGAACACATTTCAAGTTAACAGTTCGGTATGTAGGAAAATTAATTTTCGAAAGTTCTGAAACGTGATCGCTGTAGCGGTCTGGAACCCGCCTCTCTCTCGGTGGCTGAACACGTCGAGCAGGAACCTCCTGCTGCTCGGCTGCCGGGACAGTCGGAACCACCAATGGCGCAAGCTCGGAATCGGGGTCTGGGCGGATGGCATCTGGATCCTCCCAAGAAGGAGGCTCGGCGCCAGGTACCGGGTGGACGGAAGCTGGGTGCTCAGGGGGAGGGGCCTCTGAAGCAGTCGAAGCTGAAAGGAGTTCAGGCGCCTAATGGGCAGCTGAGGAGCCATAGCTCCTCGCTGACGGGTCCCAGGTTCCACCTGGCGGCGGAGTGCTTAAACTTCCAGGAACCTTGGCCAGCTTCGAAACGTTCCACGTTCTTGCGTCATCTAGGCGGAAGGATGATGGCCCTCGCTGCCCCACCACTTTCCGGGGACGGCTGAAGGAGAGATACCCTTTCCAGGCAAGGGAAGGCTTCTTCACCCGAACGAAGTCGCCGACTGAGACCTTGGTCTTGCGGGCAGCACGGCGATGGTCTGTATAGCTTCGGCTACTGTCTTGCTTGCGCTTCACGCGCTGGCGCAGACGGCGGAGTTCCCCACCCGGATCCTTGAAGAAGGGTGGTGACGGGTGCCCTACAACGTCCAGGCGGTTTCTGGGCAACCTTCCATGAAGCGCCAGAGCCGGGGCAACTCCCGTCGTAGCGTGCGGCGTGCAGCGGTAGACGCCTAAATAGTCGAGCACCGCTGGCCGAAGCGGTCGATGCTCCAGCATCGCAACTTGGACAAAATTCTTGAAGACGCAGTTGAACCGTTATACGAGCCCATTCCCTTGAGAGTAGTAGATTGAAGAATGGGCAAGGCAAATGGCGCGGTCCTTTAAGAACTGGATGAACTCTTGTGACGAAAACTGGGGCCCGCTGTCGCAAACAACTTCGTCCGGGTAACCCTTGCGGGCGAAGACAGAATGCAGGAAGCTGGTAACCGTGCTTGTGGAAACTTCTCTGCAGAACTGCTCTTCAGGCCACTTGGAGAAATAGTCGACTAAAGTGATGGCGTACTTGCAGTCTTGTGGGGCCCTTTCCGTAGGGCCGACGATGTCAATGGCGATTTTCTGCCATGGACGCTCTGGCAGAGGAACCCGTTGCAACGGAGTAGCTGCAGTCTTGGCCGCCTTGTCTGCAGACTGGCAGATGCTGCAGTTGTGGATGGCTGCTTCTACTTGCTTGTCCATACGTGGCCACCAAAAATGTTCCCCGAGACGCGCCTTGGTCCGAACTACCCTAGGGTGGGCATCGTGTGCCGTGGCAATGACCTGCGGAGTGAGGGCCCGAGGAACAACGAGTCGTTCCCCACGCAGAGGGACATTGTCGACAACGGACAGTTCTTCGCGAGCGGTGAAGAACGGCTTGAGTTTACCCGAGAGAGACTTCTGGGGAGGCCAGGATGACGTAACGCAACCCTTGACTTGCTCCAAGGTAACGTCTTCGCACAGCGACTGCTCGAATTGCTCCTTGGTCAAGCAGAGCGGTGCGACGAGAGCCACGACTTATTCGTCGAACGAGACATCTTCCTGAAGAGCAGACACTGGAAGGCGGGAGAGGGCGTCCGCCACTTGGTTTTCTAAGCCCTTACGATACTCTACAGTGTAGTTGTAGCGAAGAAGTCGCTGAGACCACCTTGCGATGCAAAGGGGGCGTCTTCCAGAGCCCTGAGACGACAGAAGGGAAACCAGGGCTTGATGGTCTGTACGCAGTGTAAAAGGACGACCCCAGAGGTAGGTGTGCCAATGCTCCCAGGCCCAGACGCATGCGAGTGCTTCAC